AAACTCGATACAAATAACGAAAATTCAATACAAACTTTGTTTTCGCTTTGTAAATTGATAAATAGTTATAAAATGTTCAATTGTGTTGTAAAGATTCATTTGAATTCACTGAAAATATAGGACAAAGATGTAGAGTGAATCATATATGTATTTATTAATGCAGAATAATAAAAAAAGTTTTCAGTATATTTTACCAATCCATATTACCAAACACAAACGATAATAAAAAAACAAAGAAATAGGAGCCTTAATATTTTGATCAAATAACTCTTAAACTGAAATGTTTTTTTATATCATCATTAAGTATTAAAGATATAGAGAATTTATAATGGACGCGTGTTGTATATAAAAGTAGAAAAAAAAAATACTTCGTACCTTCCTTGTGTAAAACTAAAACCAACAAATGGTAGATGAAGCCCGGAGAAGGCAGAATTGGCGGCTGGCGGCACGGCGTCGGAAGTACGAATATCGGTATCATCGACATCAAAATTTGACGTATCACTGGGTGACGAAACTTCGGGAATGTACGGCGCAGTACTATCTCTGAGTGTATCCCAATCGACTCCATTGAACCAAGGATGCTTCTGCATTTTAAAATGTACACAAGATGCGCGATTTAGAATTATATTCTAATGATGTGTGACATATCATAATATATATTTGTTGTGAATGTTATATATTTTTCATTTATAAAAATAATGTAACAGTTACATGTTATATCTCTTGAGATTCTTAAGTAGAATTCATCGTAATTTATCATCACAGTAATTTAAGAAAATATTACTAGCCACAATTTGTTAATTTTCAACTTAATTTTCAATGTGTGTGTGTGTGTATGTGTGTATGTGTGTGTGCATCGCGTGCGATTATTAAATGCTTTTCTCTGTTAAAGACTATTTACATAATTTGCAAAAAAGATTTCCTTATTTCTTAAAGACTTTTAAAACTAAATAAGGATTATAAGCTTTTTGCAATATGAATATTATAAGATATATATTATAACCAGAACAATTAGTCTTGACTTTTTGTAGAGCGCATACAACCCATACGGCATGAAAAAAATAAAAAATTGATCTGATATAAAATGTGTTAAATATCAATAATAAAATCGTATTACCAAGTTAGCTAAATAAGGATAATAAGCTTTTCTTCCTTATATTTTTGCAAAATAAATTCATTCAGTAATAAATTCATTAAAGAATATCTGTAATCAAGAAAAATTTCTGATGTATATATCTAATATGACAGAGATGTGTGCCAGCAAATTTTAATTGCTGAATATAAAATAGATTGCAAATGATATATAAAATATGTTCGCACGATTATTGTAGCAAAACTTACCTTAAAATCGTCAATTCCATTTTGACCTAATCTAAATTCAGAGCTGCAAATCAACTTCCGCATCAGATCTTTGGCTTCTTCAGAAACATCATATATAGCGTCCGTAGGAAAATCAAAACAATTCTATAAAAGAAAGCATCAACTTTTCTCAATAAACAAATAATATCTTAATTAAATGAAAAAATCTAGAATTTGGAAAAAGCTTACCTTGTGATTCATAATTTTTCCATAAGTTTCGACTAGGGATTCTGCATAAAAAGGTGTTTCACCATAAAGCATTTCGTACATACACACTCCAAGAGACCACCAATCGCATTCAGGACCATACTGTCCCTGACCATCTTCCATCGCCTAGTAGATATATATGAAACCACATACATATATATATACATATATACATACATACATACATACATACATACATACATACATACATACATACATACATATATATTATTATATATATTCGTTTGTAATATGAAGCATAATATTCAAAATTACCCTCAATATCTCTGGTGAAATATAGTCTGGAGTACCAACTGCAACATTACTTTGTACCGTCCCATCTTCAAATAGTCGTAAACAAGAGCCAAAATCAGCTAATCTGATATGACCATTTGCATCCAATAAAACATTATCAGGTTTAATGTCACGATGCACATAGCGCAAGTCATGTATAGAACCTATAGCTAGCACCATTTCTGCTATATAGAATCGAGCCATATCTTCGGGGAGACGATCCTCAAATTTGCTCAATAATGTCAATAAATCTCCACCACAATAGTAATCCATGACCAAATACTATATAAACATTATGCAACAATCAGATAGTTAATTAATATTTTTTATACTTTTATAAATTAAAATTTATGTTAATTTATTATATTCATATTTTTCAGTTTTCTGCCGCGTGAATCACATACGCCGCACGCTTTTCATACAGAGAGTTTGACATTTACGTTATTAAATGTAACATTATCATAAAAGATATTTTGTAGAATCATAATATATTAATGTCTAAATATAATATATTGTGCAGTTATTACATTATAAAGCACATATGTCTGCTTAGATATTCTTTTGTGTTAAGCTCTTATTTTAAAACTGTTATTCTGTTCATTGTTGTATCAACTTAATAAATACTTTATTATAATCGTTTTGGTAACTTATAATCAATTATATAAAATTATATACAATTATATATAATTATATATATATTTATATTCATTAAATATAAAATATAGAACAAAATAAATATATGTAAAGAAGAAACAAAAAACATACATGGTATGTGCAAGTATATGAAACAAATATGTACATGTATATCTATAAAACAACACCATAGATATAAAACATCTTTTTTTTTCTTTTTTCATTTTATAGAAATCATATTATAGATTATAACAGATACATGTTTTTATTTGTTTAATTTTTGCTTTGTTTTATAGAGTATGTTAAACATTACATTTTATTTAATATTAATAATAATAATAAAATAATATTTGCAATATGAATATTATAAGATATATATTATAACCAGAACAATTAGTCCTTTTGGCATAATATCAGGAGGGGGATGACCGTAAAGATATTGCGACGAATCTGACATGTCTCTTTATTGATAAAGTTGTTTCTTACCACAATTTGTAGTGGATATTTTCATTGTCATTATTAACATTGGTTACCTCCTTATACCACATTGTTATGTTATCTGTGATAAATTTCTCTGTAATAAATAATTTATTACTATAACAATAATTCGAATCGTATATTAATACTTGAGAAAGTGTAACTATACTTGAAATCTTGACAAATTTAAAATACATAGATTATAGATTGATGACTATATGGGTCAAATATTTTATTTATAAAATAATATAGGTAAATACATATTTTAATCATATTGAGATTTTCAAGTTTTTTTTTATGAAATTGCGAAATTACTTAATTTTTTATTTTTGTTGTAATTGTTTTTATTATGAAAAAAAAAACAAAAAGATAAAAAATCTATGAATATAAAAAAATAAGAAAAAATAAAAATATAAAAAACAAAAAGAAATGATATAGAATATATAGACATTAGTAGATAAGGGAAAGAAATAGCAATGTAAGAAAATACAAAAATGAATTATACAAAATGCATTTTTTTTTTTTTTGCAAATGTGTTCATATGTATCGCATCATTGATAACCTAAAGAAGAATTCTATTTACAATCGCGCTATATTAATTTCGAGTATCAGAAAAAAATAAAGTTTTAAGTTTTCTATTCATTAATATACAAAAAATGTATGAAATAAAATGGTTTTTCCTTCCTTTTTATTATCAATATTGTGCATCGATATATGCTTACCGATATATCAGCATGCTAATAAATAGAGTTTTATTCATTTCGCTCTTGATCATTGTATAGAGATCGTTCACATTGGAAATTACGTAACTGCGGTAAAGATAACTAAAAAATAGTTGGCGAAAATGTGCAACAAGAAAATTACATGTAAATAAAAAAAGTGCAAACGGGATAAAAATAGTCTACTGAGATCAAATACATTCGCGGGTGGTATTTGACAAAATCGCAAAAATATCTCTCCTAACGAATACGAATACAATCGTGCGAATGTTGTATCGTAATTCTGTCAAGTAATTTTGTCAAACGGATACAGTATATACGTCGTTACATGTCATAGCTGCAATAATCGTCCTAGATTTGGAGTTTATAACCTCGTCATAATCTCTGTATACACTGGCATTCGCGAGCAAATTTGTATAACGTGAAGTTTCTCCTATCTAGCATATATAGGAAGCTGTTTCGAATAAAAGGATTTTTTTTTCATTGGCGATTCCAAGTGACCGCTCAATTAATGCAAACATACCTGCTGTAACAATGCGCACAATTTTCAAAATCTTCCTCAATTGTTTATTACACGCACTATGCTTGGTTATAGGAAACTATCTTGCATTAGCCATCCCCGGACTTTATCCGAACCTCAACAATTTAATTAACCCCCTAACAGGCCCTATGCAGAAAAAATATGGCAGCTCTACGTCATTAAATGTAGCCATGATAACTGACATACAGAATAGCAACGCTATTCGATTTTCTAGCACTTGGATTTTCTAGCATTAAACTTAGAGGTCGCTCGGGCTGATTTCACGTGTAGAAAGATCGTGGTTAATATACAGGGTGTCCCATTTTAATCTATCCGCTTTTATCTTCGCAGGATAAAGTCGAATCAAATATATATATATATAAATCAAAAATATGTTCTGACCAAAGTTATTTGGTTCGAAGAGGGAAAAATAGGGATGTTAGTATACGCTACGTATACTATATAGTATAGATACATGCGCGCATATGTGCTTCGCGGAATCCAGCCATCCTATATATACGTTATCAAGAGGCATGGCATATTGAATTTCGCGATACCCGATATAATATTCTGCCCACCCAGAAAATGGCGTTCAGTAGAGAAAACGTTCAGTTATCATCTTATCAACACTCGACGTTGATTTGTTCATTGTAAAAGTAAGAGCCAATCACGTTCGATTGCTACTGAGCGGTTTTTTCTGCTGAACGCGGCCAATGGCTACCCTAGCATTACATTTCCCATGTGACATAGTACATATATAGAAGTCGGTGAAAACAAATTATTTTTCATTTATATATATATATACATATATATTTCTTTTTTTTTAATATCGTCGTTAATATTATTAATAATTTCTCAGAAAGTACGAAATAAATACTAGTAACAGCGCAATTATACGAAGAATTTTATATGTAAGTGTTTCTAACCTTTTATTTTCCATTCTAAATTACAAGCCGGTTATTTTACACGATTAACGTTTTAATAAGTTGTATCTCAAATAACATTCTGATTACATTTGTGTTAATGAAAATTAATAAATGATAAATTCATAAGCAAATGTATGAGGCAAATATTGTTAAAGCAAATGTATCTGTATTTCAAAATACATGTAACAGATATAACATGTGTTATTTAATTACAAAATTATAAATATTATAATAATATTATTATAATTCTCAGGTTTATATGGATTTAAACAGTAAAATTCAAAGATTTTTGAAATTATCTTATAGGTTCTTATATGGTGAGTTAGTATATACAATTTGTCTAATTATAGAGCATTTAGCTCATGTTTGCTAAATTTTTTTGCTCATATCTATCACTCATTTAGGCCTCTATCACATTCTTCTTTTAAATTTTTTGTAAAATTAATAACATTCTAGTAACAATAGTAATTATAATATCATTTTATAATTTACAGAGTAATTACTGCTACAGAGCAAGAACAACTTTGTATATAATATGGACAGATCTCTAAAGAGATTGTTGCGACTATATCCAATAGCACGTAATTGGACAGTCCTATCAAATTATATAAAACCATTTCAATCAGTACAGAGTGTATCACGAATATATAGTACTAGTTTGACAGGTAATTGAACAATTTAGATATATTTATGATATAAATATAATATATATATATACTGCAACAGAATTTTTCTCAGATCATACACAACTGGAAGATCTTACATTATTAATGAAAAAGAACTATGCATCCAATGATATCAGAGTACCACATAGACCTATGAGAATCTTGGAAGAAGCAGCAACAAATTATATGAATATGACTGTGCATGATGTTGTTGATACAATGTCTACATTATTTAAAGTATCTAGAGATATAAAAGATATACAAATTATTGGAAAACACATAGGCTTTATACGTTTGTGTGAAGTATTAAATAAGGACATTAGACTCATGAAAACAAATGACATTATTGAAATGCTGAAAGTATTTACATACTTTAAAATCCCAACCAACAGTATTTTAACACAATCACTGTTGCAAATGATTCGCACAACCATAAATGAAATATCTCTTCGAGATATAATCTTTATAGTTTTTTTATTAAAGAAAATGGATAGCACACCATTGCGAGATGCTTTACTGATAGCTCTGCCTCTAGTATTTCAAGCACAGTTACCCACAAAGTTAGACTCAGAGGATATAGTTCTGTTAACATGGTCTTTAAGATTTGCAAATGAAAATAATATAAATAATCCAATAATACAAGATACAATACTCAAATCACTACAGAAATATGAAAATCTAGATATACGAACAGCTTGGTCCATCTTTCACAGTTTATGTTATACGTCTCATCTATCTCCAACAGCTTTTGACATATTGTTTGAAGTACAAAAGATTCTTATAGCTAATGCGAAACAATTAAATGTTCAAGAAATAATCAAGATACTTGAAAAACTGGTGTTTGCCACTATAAAGAAGTATGTTACAAAATTCTTATATTAATATCTGGTTATAAAAAGTAAGATATATAAACAATATACTATTTATTACAGCAGGGAATATGGATGCAAGTTCTACAATGAGACATTAGTTGATGCTTGTGTTAATTCAGCATTATCTTCAAACATTAATTTCAATAGCGGTATTTATCTACTCAAGCTATTAAATGATTTAAATTATGCACATATACCCTTCTTGGAATATTTAGCAGCAAAATGCTTCGAAGAGCCGAATCTATTAAAAGATGCACCATATTTTAAAGTATCCATCTTCTTAAAAGGATTTATCAATGCTGATTACAAGCCAGTATTTTGGGATACTATACGAGATGCAATATTGGCAAATGAAGTGGAAAATAAATCTTTCAGGAAATCTATGATCAGATTTGCTCTGCATTTAACTGCATTAGATTGTTATAGTCCAAATTTAATCAAAAAAGTTTTTTCTGAGAATATAAAAGCGAATGATACAATGAAGGATATTTATGCTAGAGAATTATTACTTTTATATCAAAGTGTTAAAACATTGTATCCTACATATGATGGACCATGGCCGGCGCAAGATATACTTGAATATGCTACTGTTAGTGTTAGCCCAATTCTTCCTACATATTCTATGAGAGCAGCATTAGAACTAGCATTAGGTGGACCTCAATACATTCACAATGATTTAAGAACAAGATTGGGTCATTATATTGGTACGTAATGAGCTCTCAAATTGGTTTCTCTTTTATCGTTATTAAGTGCAAAATATATTCTTTGCTAAGTTAAAAAAATAATCATTTTTATTTTTTAATTATTGAATAATGTATTAATAAATTAACTACATACATAATTTTAGGTCTCATAAATATTAATTCAAGATAATATAATTTTATAATAATTATCTTTAAGTTATTTAGATTATGATAGTAATCTAAAATTTTATCTATCCTTCTCTGAATCATAGACCATGTTGTTGTAATGAGAAAAGGCAGATATCCTGTTGCAATTAACACAGTTACATCCAGCGAAACTAACACAATTTATGTTGAGGATATACAAACACCAAGTGAAAGTCAAATGTAAGAGCATTTCCAATTTACTTAACACATTACAGTTATTTAATCACTTATTTATTGTTGTGATGCATATTTTATGTTTCAGAATACTTATCTTCAATTTACCCGATACTGCTTATGCTGTGAATTCACAAAGATTGAAAAGTACATGGTTGCTAAAAATAAAATCTGCTGAGGCGTTAACAAAATCCAACACAATTGCAATAAATTCTAGTTCTTGGATGAAGTTACCCGAACATGAAAGAGTTCCTTATTTGATGCAAGCTATAAGACTGAAAAGTGAGGATCTTTCGACTTCAATTGATTGAAATATTTTGTAATCAATATTATAAATGTCCCTATACAAATGTGGATTTATTGTCATATGTTCTCAAAATTGTAGACATTGCAATTACAACAAATGTATATTAACTATTAATGTACAGAAGTGTAAATAGAAAAATATACACAAGTAATAAAATAATAATCTATTTTAAAATATGTAAAAATAAAACAAGAATGTAAAATAATACATAGCTAACAGGATCAATTAATATACTAATAAAAATAAGCTTTTTTTAATATAAATTACAAATTCTTCTGCAATAAGATTATTATAATGTGTGTATGTGTGTGTGTGCGTGTGTGTGTTAGAGAGAGACAATTATTTTACAATATTTATTATTAATGGTCAGATATATTTCTCTTTGTTGGTTGTTATGTATATACTTTAATAGAAATATTAAAATTAGAATTAGTTCATTAAAAATACAAATAAAAATTACTGAGTAATTATTGAATCTATTTCAATATAAATCAGAACTTTCATAATATTTAATTAAATACTAGGAATTTTGAAAACAAAAATAAGTAATTCCTTTCAAAAATTAATGATAAACTTACAAAACTCGATTCAAAAATATTCACAACCAACAGTCATGATGCACAAATAACTAGACGCGATATGTCTGGCTATTATTGGACTCGGAAGCGGCTATCTTGCATATATACTAGTGCATACTCTAGTTCAGCTAAAAAAAGAACAAACCTTTGTTCGCAAATTATTCCCTCATCTCAAAAAAGATCTCGTCTATGTATTTTATATATCTATGGATGAAGTAAACTACCGGGAACTGCTAGCTGCTGGCTGCTAGGCATATCGGAGTGAGCGGATGAAAACAAGCGATGCTCAAGAGTGAAGGTTCGCATTTCTTGGTTGATTGCTATTTTGCGAGAAAGGAACGCAAGAAGGAAGCGAACGAGGAATCGATTCGCCGTCGTCGTCGTCGTCCCGTTGTTACTTCCAGGAGATTTTGATCGTGAATCCTGTAACGTGATTCTCTCCTCCTTTCTTTATTCCTACACTCGCCAGGGCGTCCAATCAACGGGAACGATGTAAGTATTCTCCTCCGGCAGATCCGTTCCCCGATCGCCACATTGGGGATGTTGGCGCGACCATCCGCAACTGCCATCATCGTCGACGGCGATCACGAGCGGCCCGGTTCCGTAATAGACGTAGTAGCGAGGGGAGTGCCCTTACGAATCCTTAGGAGATGTCTTACAGCGATGGCGCACGCCCGATACGAAAATTCGGCACGAAATCGCCGAAGAAGCTATGCGTGACCACCAAGAGCGAGAACGGCGAGAAAACCACGACGACGGTGAATTGCGGCGGTCACCATCACAATCACTATCATCACAGTCATCATCGCTTCCTGGATCCCGGCCCGCAGCCATCGGTGCACAAGCGTAATCTCTACGTTGTCTCCTTCCCGCTGATACTGCTGTTTAATGTGCTACGGACTCTGCTATACCAACTGTTTATGGTGTTCAAGTATCTGTATACCTCTACATCCCAGCTGATCCAGCGTAGACAAGCGTCCAAACAGGTCTGCCAATTAGAGATTGTTGTTGGGCAAAAGCCGACGAATGGTCGTTTGACCAATAGTCAGATAGAGGGAGAGATCATGTCGCAAGTGCCTAGACGTCCTATTGGGCCAGGTCCCGGAGATCCATTGCTCGCCAAGCAAAAGCATCATCATCGCAGAGCATTCGAGTTTATCAGCAAGGCACTCAAGATTGATGAGGATAACGAAGGTATACTGTTTATTAGTGCATTTTTAAAAAGATTAAAGACATCCAACAATTAACTAAAGTAGAGCTACAATGTGGAGATTTAAAATAATATTTATATTTTACAGAATTATTAGTAGTTTAAGTTATACGTAATTCAATTGTCTCAATATCTGATCAACCTTAACTTCTTGCAACAGGACAGAAGGAAATGGCGATCGAGTTATACAAGAAGGGAATTGGAGAACTTGAAAAGGGAATAGCTGTAGAATGCACCGGTGGGCATGGTGAAGTATGGGAACACGCGCAAAGACTTCACGACAAGATGTGTACAAATTTGGCAATGGCGAAAGACAGGCTTGATTTTCTCGGTTAGTATGGTCGTCATTGTATTTGCTTTGCGCATCGACATCTCTTAAGCTACTCCACGCTTATTTACCCATGGTATAAACTTCTATTATTTGGATTTATTGTCATATGTTCTCAAAATTGTAGACATTGCAATTACAACAAATGTATATTAACTATTAATGTACAGAAGTGTAAATAGAAAAATATACACAAGTAATAAAATAATAATCTATTTTAAAATATGTAAAAATAAAACAAGAATGTAAAATAATACATAGCTAACAGGATCAATTAATATACTAATAAAAATAAGCTTTTTTTAATATAAATTACAAATTCTTCTGCAATAAGATTATTATAATGTGTGTATGTGTGTGTGTGCGTGTGTGTGTTAGAGAGAGACAATTATTTTACAATATTTATTATTAATGGTCAGATATATTTCTCTTTGTTGGTTGTTATGTATATACTTTAATAGAAATATTAAAATTAGAATTAGTTCATTAAAAATACAAATAAAAATTACTGAGTAATTATTGAATCTATTTCAATATAAATCAGAACTTTCATAATATTTAATTAAATACTAGGAATTTTGAAAACAAAAATAAGTAATTCCTTTCAAAAATTAATGATAAACTTACAAAACTCGATTCAAAAATATTCACAACCAACAGTCATGATGCACAAATAACTAGACGCGATATGTCTGGCTATTATTGGACTCGGAAGCGGCTATCTTACATATATACTAGTGCATACTCTAGTTCAGCTAAAAAAAGAACAAACCTTTGTTCGTAAATTATTCCCTCATCTCAAAAAAGATCTCGTCTATGTATTTTATATATCTATGGATGAAGTAAACTACCGGGAACTGCTAGCTGCTGGCTGCTAGGCATATCGGAGTGAGCGGATGAAAACAAGCGATGCTCAAGAGTGAAGGTTCGCATTTCTTGGTTGATTGCTATTTTGCGAGAAAGGAACGCAAGAAGGAAGCGAACGAGGAATCGATTCGCCGTCGTCGTCGTCGTCCCGTTGTTACTTCCAGGAGATTTTGATCGTGAATCCTGTAACGTGATTCTCTCCTCCTTTCTTTATTCCTACACTCGCCAGGGCGTCCAATCAACGGGAACGATGTAAGTATTCTCCTCCGGCAGATCCGTTCCCCGATCGCCACATTGGGGATGTTGGCGCGACCATCCGCAACTGCCATCATCGTCGACGGCGATCACGAGCGGCCCGGTTCCGTAATAGACGTAGTAGCGAGGGGAGTGCCCTTACGAATCCTTAGGAGATGTCTTACAGCGATGGCGCACGCCCGATACGAAAATTCGGCACGAAATCGCCGAAGAAGCTATGCGTGACCACCAAGAGCGAGAACGGCGAGAAAACCACGACGACGGTGAATTGCGGCGGTCACCATCACAATCACTATCATCACAGTCATCATCGCTTCCTGGATCCCGGCCCGCAGCCATCGGTGCACAAGCGTAATCTCTACGTTGTCTCCTTCCCGCTGATACTGCTGTTTAATGTGCTACGGACTCTGCTATACCAACTGTTTATGGTGTTCAAGTATCTGTATACCTCTACATCCCAGCTGATCCAGCGTAGACAAGCGTCCAAACAGGTCTGCCAATTAGAGATTGTTGTTGGGCAAAAGCCGACGAATGGTCGTTTGACCAATAGTCAGATAGAGGGAGAGATCATGTCGCAAGTGCCTAGACGTCCTATTGGGCCAGGTCCCGGAGATCCATTGCTCGCCAAGCAAAAGCATCATCATCGCAGAGCATTCGAGTTTATCAGCAAGGCACTCAAGATTGATGAGGATAACGAAGGTATACTGTTTATTAGTGCATTTTTAAAAAGATTAAAGACATCCAACAATTAACTAAAGTAGAGCTACAATGTGGAGATTTAAAATAATATTTATATTTTACAGAATTATTAGTAGTTTAAGTTATACGTAATTCAATTGTCTCAATATCTGATCAACCTTAACTTCTTGCAACAGGACAGAAGGAAATGGCGATCGAGTTATACAAGAAGGGAATTGGAGAACTTGAAAAGGGAATAGCTGTAGAATGCACCGGTGGGCATGGTGAAGTATGGGAACACGCGCAAAGACTTCACGACAAGATGTGTACAAATTTGGCAATGGCGAAAGACAGGCTTGATTTTCTCGGTTAGTATGGTCGTCATTGTATTTGCTTTGCGCATCGACATCTCTTAAGCTACTCCACGCTTATTTACCCATGGTATAAACTTCTATTATTTATGAATATAATAAATTTGTCGGTATCAATGCAATATTATGTACTTGTGCCAGTTCTATTTGCAAAACAAAGTGTCCACAGGTAAATTTTAACAATGGCGAGAGAAAGAATATCGATGTACTTGGCATGCTCGTGTGCAATTCATTTTACTTTCTTCCACATATACGAACGTGTACGTATGTGTAGATGCATGTCCGCGTTTAATAATTTTCTTTATAATTTATATTTCTTGTGCACAAATCAATTTTCATTTTGCATTTCTCTGCGGGCGCAAAATAACGTCCAAATTTATCTATGTAAATTAACAGTCCAATCTCATATGACAGCATTTTGATAGTAATTGAAATAGTCACACATTTGAGATCTGATATTAACGACAGTGATTTAATACATCGGTACTCTTTCGCTACATTTGTGGAAGAGATCAGCCTGATTTTCTCTTTAGCCTACTGCAGCATGGCAGAGAATGTTTTTTTCCTTTTTTGTAGCGAGTGTGTGTGAGCTGAGAAAGCTGGGTATCAACAATCAGTATCGCGCTCCTGGAAATAAAACGGACGGCAAGCATTTGGGAAAGCATCTGAGGGCTCGCCGCAATATACACACTTTTCAAACCGCTCAAACTTCATTTAACGCTAATCATAATAAGAACACGAACAGTATAAACGCGACAGTTAATAGTGGGCAGACCATATGTACCCAAATTCCCAAGCTAAAACCACGTTCGCCAAAAAACTGTCATACTACTGAAGGTATTATTCGTCTGAGATCTTGCGCTTAAACATAAAAGAGTCGAACGCATGTAAATAATATAGTGTCCTTCCTTCCCTTGATTTATATTATTCATTTTGAAAAAATGCTTGTTTTATCTTAGCCCTGCATGTCATATGTTTCACATAGAAAATTAGCTAGATAAATGTAAGCTTGTAAGTTATTACGCATCAATGTGTTATGTATGTATTTTTCATAGTTGCTTCTTTGTGTTGCTGTAGAAATTGCCAGATTTCTATATGTAATTTCTAAATTTTCCATTATAGTGCTTTGCAAATAAATCTAACATGTTATTTATAGAATACAGACAAAATAAAATTTATTAAATATGTTAATATATACATATAAACACAATTGTATCTGTAAAAATTATAATTCTTTACTGTATATTATGTAATATATTTAGAATGACAATGAGATATATGTATTTTTTTAGTTTGTTTCTTTCAAGGTTTAAAGTTAAAAACTCTACATTGGTTCTATTACTTATAAAATAATTTGATCTTTAATATAGTTAGTTAAAATTTATATATGTACAAGGGTGTTTTATATTTAAGTTAAGACTAAAATATATCCAAAAAGTATGCAAAATTTAAAAAAAAATGTATTAGACAAAAATTGCTTGATTTAGAGAGGTCTTGTGGTGAGCACAGTTTTATTTCAGGTGGAGGCGTTTCCGAGAATGTGACTTTAACTAAACCTTGGTAATGCAACACAAGATCAAACTGTTAACACCGCAAAATACATCATTTTATACTTTGCAAGTTTTGTCTAAAACATTTTTCTATAAAATGCATACTTTTCGAAAAGTTCATTTGTCCCAACACATTTCGGACACCTTGTATAAATAACGTCTACTTTATTTATACATCAGAACCGAAAAGTGTACTTTGCTGGTATAAGAGAACCTGTTTTATATCAATTCAAGTAATATTTCTTTAAGTATGTTATTATAAAAATGTAAATATTAGACTTAATTATAACAATTACCAAAATTAGCAAAACTGAAGAAACAGAGCAAATACGTATTATTGTATTGGTATATTAAAAAAATGAGATTCTCTAAAACCATACATTTCCAGAAATTTTGCCAAAAAAAAAAGCTTATTTTTTGATAAATAATATAGAATAGTTTTGCGCATATATACACATTCATATATACATATATCTATAGCGATTTTTTCACATAATCAAAATTATACATTACTATTTTTGAGTTTTATTTGCAAATACAGACATTATTTCAGCATCCGGCAGGAAATTATCAGTTCCTGGCAAACGGATAACGGGAACACCTCTAAGCAAGAGTCAGACATTACCAAGAAGCATGGGTAGATCGACGCCTATTCAACCTTGCCATAGGACCATGCCAATCAAACCATCGTCTACACCGCCTTCTGTGAAAAGACAATTGTCCGTACCGGGCAATGGTTCACCTATACGACGCCCAGGGACACCCACTACCTCGAACAGTAACAGAAGCACTCCAACTAGGAAAGTACCTATCTTGAAAGGCGTGGATCCAAAACTTACGCAAGTGATTCTCGATGAAATTTTAGAAGGAGGAGCGCCAGTACAGTGGGAAGACATTGCAGGCCAAGAGGTACATTTCTCTTCCCCTCTTTCCCCTTTCTTTCCCCTCCCTCTACCCCTTTTCCTTCCTTCCATCTCCCTCTCACTCTCTTCTTCTTTCTTTCTTTTTCATTGTCCCAGTCAAATTATTTTCCTTGCTTGCATTGATTAAATTGATAGAAACCTTGTCTTTGACTTCCTCGACCTTGTCTTTATTTCTATTAGTTATTTTGCAATATATTGGTAACTTTCAGACTGCAAAACAAGCTTTGCAAGAGATGGTAATTCTACCGTCACTACGACCTGAACTATTCACTGGTTTGCGGACACCTGCTAGAGGACTATTGTTGTTTGGACCGCCAGGGAACGGAAAAACGTTGTTGGCGCGTGCCGTTGCGACTCAATGCAACGCAACATTTTTTTCAATCTCCGCCGCTAGTCTAATGTCTAAATACGTTGGAGAGGGTGAAAAATTAGTAAGGGCCTTGTTCGCAATTGCACGGGAATTACAGCCATCTGTTATTTTCATCGACGAAGTGGATTCGTTGTTAAGCGAGCGAAAAGATAACGAACACGAAGCTTCCAGGTATATATTTTATTCTGTGCGCCTCTTCTGTAAACGCGGGCAATTATATCGAGGAAATCGAGATACCGATCAATTTAATATTTTAGGAGATTAAAAACAGAATTCTTAGTCGAATTTGACGGTTTGCCTTGCAATCCCGAGGAGAGAGTACTCGTTATGGCTGCTACAAATAGACCACAAGAATTGGATGAAGCTGCCTTAAGAAGATTCACGAAACGCGTGTATGTTACATTGCCGGATCTGCAGACAAGAATTATATTGCTTCAGAGGCTCTTAGCCAAGCACAATGATCCATTAACATCCGAAGAATTGAACGAGATGGCAGTTCTGACAGAGGGGTACTCGGGAAGTGATTTGACTGGTTTAGCTAAGGATGCAGCACTTGGGCCTATCAGAGGTAATATTAAATCAATTTCATTGGACTTCTGTATTTGTGTTTCTAAGTTTACATTATGAATGAAAATATGCATTTGGCTACTCATTTTAGTTCCTTATCGATTTTAGAGATCATTTTATCAGTTGAATGTACATGCATATTCTCCAATAATAATTTGATACTTACTACATAAATTAAAATCCTATTTTGAAATTTTATTGTATTTATTTCAGTTGTACATTTTAAAATCTGGTAAAGATGTAAAAAGTTTTATTAAATTTCTGTATTACCCTTTAAAATTTGCTTTAGAAAGAATCTATGAGATTTTGTCTTAATTTAGCATTACTAGATATATTCTCATATTATTTTCAGAACTGAATCCAGATCAGGTGAAAGAATTGGACCTTAATTCTGTTCGTAATATTAGAATGCAAGATTTCCGTGATTCTCTAAGAAGAATTCGTAGATCTGTTTCGCCGGCAAGTTTAACTACTTATGAGAAATGGAACTTCGAATACGGAGATGTGAGTCTTTGATTTAAGGTGAGTTGTATGGGCTCTCGAAATAATCGCGTTTTGAATTAGATATAATCCGCAAAACGGAATTACAGATATTCCGCAAAATAACGAAAAAGAAGCGTGTAATATCGAATGTCTCGATACAAAAACAATTTTTGCACTTTTACTCAATTTCAATGAACGATATATTGATGTTTATAAAGAGGACGGCAGCAGGAAGATAAAGAAGATATGTTCTTCAATTCCTAAGATACTTTCGTCTTAACAACAAAGAAGTTACTAGATTGACTCATTGTTATTGTATCTAGCATTGTAAATGTAGTTGTTCGAATCTCGCCTTATTTTTATGTTAGAATAATCTTTTGCAACAAATAAAACTTACATTTTTGGCAGTGATTTAAAGTAAAATGTATCTCGAAGATATGTTTCATGTTGATTTTACGAGATACAATACTCTATGTTCTATTTAATGCTCTTATTTATAGCTAATGTTCAGATATTTGCATTTACAATCCAGCATGTACAAAGAAAAGTCAGAAAGTAAGGTTCACAACACGTGTACTTTTTTAATAGTTAATTTTTGGTGCAATACTTACGTCTCTCAAATAAATACATCCTTACACGACATAGTCATCTTTTTTAACATAGTCGCCTTTTCCGTTAAGGCACTTGTCTAGGCAGTAGATCCATGCATCAAAACCCTGTCGATAAAAAGTTAGATCTTGTTGATGCAGCCATTTTTATACTTCATGCTTGATATCAGAATCAGATTTTCATCTATTTCCACACTTGGAAAAGCATCTTCGTAGCGAACGATTCCAATTAGATGATGTCAAGCATGAAGTGCAAAAGTGGCTGCATCAATCTAACTTTCTACCGACAGGGTTTTGATATATGGATCCACTGCCTAGACAAGTATTGCAACAGAGAAGGCGACTATGTTGAAAAATAGTGTAAGCATGTTCATATTTGAGAGATGTAAAGTACTTCATCAAGAATTAAATATTAAAAAAGTACACTTGAGTTGGGAATCTTACTTTCTGATTTCCCCTCGTAGCTTTAACGTTAGCATTCCAAAATCAAAAATATGTATCTATTATTTATATTATTTATATGTTTATTAACTCCATGTGATTCTCTCAATTTCTTAATGATAACTAGTATTTGAAATGTATGATATTCATTTGTTATATGATAAATTAGTTCTGTTTTTTATAGCTGAACTAGTTGCACTAAAGAACAGACCTATAGCACTTAAAGAAAAAAAAATATCAGGATGTTATATATTACCATAGTTAACTTTAGATACTTAAAAAACGAAAACAGATGTGATTAAGCACACAGTTTGCAATCGTGCAATATAATGAGAATTTACAAAATATAAATACTCGATTATAAATACTCGATCATATATATTATTTATAAAGTTGACGCGAGCGCGAACCAATTTAACACCATGACATGACCCGATCCATTATCATGACAGTAGATTACATTTACAAATGAAACAGTGCACGTCCAATCAGATAATAAAAAAGTATTAATGACGTACAAAAAACATTATAGTTGTATGATTATTGTATTTGTGCGCGACATGATATAAGTGTTTACATATACAAAAATATATATAGGGTGTTCATTTGATAAGTTTCCATTTTGTTTATCTATAACCGACTAGTTTTTGCAAAACATGCTAAGAGAGGTCAATTTTGTTTTCAAGGGGCATAATTTCAACTGAGGGTAGCTACCTCGACGAAAGGGATGAAGGGCGGCATCGTTGAATTTATTGCATTCATAAGTCCCTCTTGAAAACAGAGTTGATATTTTTTAGTATTCTTTGCAAGCCGGTTACGAAATAAACAGAATGGAAACTTTTCAAATAAACACACTCTATATGTATAAACACACGTATCTCTCTACAATATGCGAAAAAGGGCGCGAAAGGAGTAAATATCGTCTAATATGCGCGTCGTTTTCGCACAAATCGCACTAATAGCTGTATATCCAAATGTTGCATTATATAATATTATTACGTTTGATACTGATTCACAAGATTCGTTTGATATTTCTTATATGTCGATATGTTAGAAATCGCGCGGCGATGTATACTTGCATGAGAGAAAAAAAAAAAGATAAAAGCAGAACCCGAGATTCTGTTTTGATACAAAATTCTATAAGACAACGAACTGAGAATCTAATCTATATATGAAAATTTTAAGTATTTGCTGTGAGGTTTATGTATAAGCGATGCGGACATTATTATCGTATATAATGAAAGATATACATATATTATATATATGTATGCGCGTGTGTGTGTGTGTGTGTGTGCATGATGCGTGCATGTATATATATATGTATATATATATACACACACGTATGGAACTTCATTTTTTTATGACGTTTATCTACTTCCGGTGCTCAAAAGTAGGATAATAATGATATACTTACGGAATTAATGTATTTAACTAATATATTTACTTAATATATAGGACTTGCACGCATGAGATATATATGCTACAATTACGCGATATGACGCAAATTTACTCCCGATTGTTCGAAGTATCATACAGAATATGCCGCCATATATAGTTTTATAGGGTAAGATTTGCCATGCAAGATATTGAAAATCGCGATTTCATTTCCAATAAAGTTTAATTCGTGTATAATGCTTCCTTTGTGCAATAGAAAAATGGAAAATGCTATTTACAAGTTAAACTGATACATAGTTATTAAAAACTGACACGTAGTTATTAAATGACACACTGATCGCGCTTTGTGCATGAATAGAAAATATGATATAAGCATTAAATAAATGATAATCCTATCATTTATATATTTCATGTGTGTGTGTGTGTGTGTGATATGATTAGAACATAGGAGATATGCAATTTGAAATATTAATATGAGCATAATTCCAACATGCTTTCTCTTTGCGATATTTCGACATTTTTAAATCTATGTTTGTCCAGATAAAAATCATGTGATGCATTTGCAAGCTGTAATGTTATTATGACAATGTACTTGATATCTTGTATGTACAATTTCTATTATTTATAAGCGATGCTTTAAAATGCATTCGAGTACACAAGAATGCAATATACACAAATATTTGGGAAGGAAAGGGATCTTTCCAAAACCCACTTGTGACTTGGTAACTTTCCAAGATGATGGGTATATAATGCCGTGATAAGAATTCGATTTGTTTCTTTACGCAATTGTTTAACAAACTGAGCTTCGGCATTATTGTCGAGATGTTGACTCTCGAATTTTATTTTCGAGTTATATTTGTGATATTAGTTTCCTTAAATAATAATCTTTGCACTGCCTACATATATATATATATATATATATAATTATATATGCTGTTTTATAATACATACATTGCAAAGTGTGAATTTTGCATTAGTTGTGTTAGATGGGAATTTATGATAATTTTGCACAAAAAAATATCATTTTGCATATGAAGATGGATCATTTAAAGATTCTGATCTTCCATTGTGGAATATTCTGAGCCTTCTAAGTTGTTTTGCTACTTTTATAATATGTTAATAATAAATTAATTAAAATAATAGAATCAGATATATTTTTTTTTTATGTTAATGATGAATGCTTGATGCTGTTTAATTTTAACAGTAAACACGTGAGTGCAAGTTAAAAGAAACTATTTGCGCATGTTTTTTTGCACATGTAAAAGATTTCTTCTTTTAAACATTATCATCTATAGTTGTTGATTATCTTCAACCATTGTATCAGCGATTGTATTGACGATTTTAAAAAATCCATGATAAATATTATTATATACTCTATGATAACTTTACAACAGTTTTTGTTCATAATACTTGCAACACTTTTTCTTCGTAATAGAAATAATCAGTTCTCATTATGATTAGCACATATGTATATTCATTTCTCAACTTAGATTAAATTATAAAGAAGTATGTGACCCCTATGAATACAAATGTGTGCGTGCGCGTGTATGTATATATACAATAATATTTTAAAATATTTTCAGTAAACTATGTTTTTTTGTGAATTACACGCTAAATTGTCAATACAAATCCTTAGCAAATATTTCTTGGTAATACAAACGATACCTTCCGAATTTAGTATTATACATGTTTAGCACAGAATATAATTATATTCATTTAGTAGATGTTTATACACTTTCCAGAATAACTTGATTATAAATGCCCTAATGTAATACTGCATAGCGTAGCGCATGCACAGAATTATGAAACGTCAATATTTTATCAATATGTACGCTTTTTAAACAGGAATGCGTTTACAGAGTGTAATAAATATGTGTATATATAGTACAAATATTTATTCTTCCTCTTACACTTCTTCTGGTGAAAGCAAAGCCAGTCTTTAAAAAGACGTAGTTGATTCACAATTTTTTATTTTGTTAATCCGTATAACATTAAGAGAGATATGGTTAAGAGATATTAAGAGATCTTTCTTTTACGAAAACATACATATTTAATTCTAGAAAGTGTTGTTATATTTTCAATGTTTCAATTTTTGTTTTTTTATCAATAGAGAGAGAAATTACTAATATCCTTATTAATATTATACTTAATATTATATAATAAGGATCATAAATCTTTAGTTAATAAAAGATATGAATGTGTGGTACTTGCATGGATCATTGTGCATACATATTATTTGTAAGTTATATCTCAAGAATGTTTCTCTACAGAGTAGTGTGAATGCTTACAGTAAGAGAATGTGTAATATATATATATATATACAATATACTGTGTGTATAGTATTAGATACTATGTTTATAGTATTATACTATGTATATTATAATATATAGTGCATACTTATTATATATTATACACAATATAGACTGAATATATGTATATATATATATGTATATATATATTCATGATTTAATTCAGAAAGATCATTAATTAAATCATAAAATATAAACTTCACTTACTATAGCTGTTATAGGAAAAGAATAGATCAAATACATAAATAGGAAGTTGGAAACATTTGTAAGTTATATCTCAAGAATGTTTCTCTACAGAGTAGTGTGAATGCTTACAGTAAGAGAATGTGCAATATATATATATACAATATACTGTGTGTATAGTATTAGATACTATATTTATAGTATTATACTATGTATATTATAATATATAGTGCATACTTATTATATATTATACACAATATAGACTGAATATATGTATATATATATATGTATATATATATTCATGATTTAATTCAGAAAGATCATTAATTAAATCATAAAATATAAACTTCACTTACTATAGCTGTTATAGGAAAAGAATAGATCAAATACATAAATAGGAAGTTGGAAACAAAGGATCACGAAAATAAGGTAAGCTATTGTGTATTTTAAATATTTATTCCTTTTTTCATTCAAAGGATAATTTGTTTTTATTATAACGTTATCCTAAGCATCTTTGAGAGCTCCATGCCCTGCCATACCTAAATTACTTTTTATATAACATCTTTTGTTTTTTTTCGTTCTCTCTGCTGGCTTACGCCACAGACAAATCAGTTTTTTTTTTCTCCTCAAATTGGCCTTCCCGGCCTTTCGATATCACTTATCGCAATCGAATCGTTACTATCTCCAGTTTTTATTCGTTTTCCTCCTTTTTTTTTTATCTCGGCTCGCTTATATACTGACTTTATACAAATTGATTTTGAAAGTTTCATGGCATTTTACCGTCGGTGGTGAACTGAGACGCTAATATTCATCTCGTGTCAAACATTGTTGGAATTAAATTCGCTTGTATCTTTTTCAGAAAATTTCGCGATACAAAATGAAATGGCGTTTCGTCATCCTTTAAATGGGATATCTATTTCATACCCTCAAAGAATTAATATCCCTAATAGATGTACTGAATTGTATTCAGAATAATACAACAGACGCAACACACACAAATCGAGGTTCGACAAAAATTGTCTCGCGAAAAACAATTATGTGCAATCAATAGGACTCGCGTGTCTACATAATAAGAGGGACTTTTGATAGCCAAAAGATTATTATAGTACAATAATAATTAATCAATCATATAATTATAATCTTATAATTTTAGATTATATAATGACTCATAAAATGTTTGAAAGTTTTATGCTTTAAAAACAATCCCCGAGCAAACACGAAACTGAACGAGCAATAATAAACGCATGCGATATCCATTCGCAAGATGTATCAACGCGATATCATTTTTACAGTAGATCTCTCAATGCATATCATACCTGAAATTCTTCTTCAATCGATATACTATCGGAAAAGTTCAATCATTCGAGTTAAGCGACTAATTCGTTAAGCGATTAAGGCTCCTGATCCCTCACTGATGTATTAAATTATGGTGTCAGATGCGAGAAATCGTGATATGAAATTTTCTTTTGTAAAATAAGTAAACTTTTTTTATATGCCATCATTATTATATTTGATAATATAGAAATATAGATTGATAAAATATATTGAAAACTCTCTTCTAGTTTCGCTGGAAATGCAAGATAAGTTATATATGTACGTATTTATTAACGTAGAATAACAAGGTAGTTTTCGGTAGCAAAAAAAAAAGAACTTAATTTTGCAATAGAAGAATTTACACGTTTTTCGCTTCTGATGTCATAATTTAATATAGCTGTAGTAAGGATACAGGAACTTTGACAAGGATACTAAGGAAAATAAAACCAACTGTTATTACAATTATGCTACGAATTTTCGTTATATGTGAATTTGGAAGACACGAAGGAATCACGAATCGTGCCATACAGACTATGATAATTCGAGGAAATGTATGTAGATACATCACGGCTGATTGTCAATCGAAAGAATGAATATCGTTTCACCGTGTAAAAATTAATTATCGACATCTGTATATTTAAAGTGTATGAAATACACACACACACACACACACACACACATACACACGTTTTTAATTTTCAATGCTCTTGTATTTTAATTCGGACACCAAGATATCAATGTGTGACTCGTCCCTGATTGAGAAATATATTCCGATGGAAGTATGCGCGTGTGTTTTTATCGTTACTATTATCGTTAGACTTAAATTACATTTATTTTTATTTTTTTTTTTTTCGATCGGCTAGGTCGTTTATATAAACGGTGAGGAGTCACTAAATTACTTACAGTCTACGATAGAATATGTTGGCGACATCTGACCAATCTCTTCGTACTTGCTGTTATACACTCATGAGCGATCTATATATTCTTGTTTATTTTTTCCTTCTAAAATCATGGCAAGGATTTTCATAAAGATATAATAAGCACAACGTATAAATTACGAACATTCCACGAATGAACAGAACATAATGTCTGGAAACAGGCAAGCAACGTAGCATATAAAAAGAGCGTTGGTCGATACGCCGTTAATGCACATCGTCGTAGCGATTAGTGTGCTTAAATTCGCATTCACACAAGGAAATCTCGATTCACTAATGTTTATAGCAAAATCATCTTTTCATCTCTCTCTTATAGCAAAGTGTTTTTTATACATCAACCACCGACGATAAATATCACATAACGAGAAAAGTTGTAACTCGTTAGTCGAATCTCTCTCGCGCGCACAGAGTTTTATTTGTTAAGGAGCCCCGCACGCCTTGGCGTACACGCATTCGCAAGTCTGTCTAGCTATACATCACAGGCACCGTGTCTAGCTATAATCACGCTTTTCTAATCTTATTAACTATGTTCGGTATTGATACCATGCGCTTCTTTATCTTCACTTCAAAATGAACATTTATCGCGCGTCGTGTGTCGTTCGTGAATGATCCGAAATTGAAATAAGGGAACCACCCCCCCCCCCCCCCTAAAGGGAATTGTATCTCGCGATGGCAAAAATATGAAAACAATATTTAACAACGCAAAATTGCCGCACGTCAGCGCTTGCGCAGCGCAATCAACGGGTGCGGGGCTCGGTTGAGTTTCAGAGGGGCCGCAACGAAGAGTTCGGAGATATACCTGGTCAACATCAGCATTACAAAATCGTAAAACTTAAATCTTTACGTTACATCGCGCAGTGGTGGCATACCAGTATGCACCCGAAATGCCGTCAATGCACGAGAAATGTACACCTCGATGTAATTAACATTACACACGTTTCTACGACAGGGGGGAACGTGGAAAAGAAAATAATAACGCGTTTTTTAAAACAAATATTTTCCTTTTATATGCAAAAAAGATTCCCGCGTACCATGTTTTTCTTTTTTTTTTTCCCCGCTTTGCTTTTCATTGTGAACGTTGAATTTCCAGCGAAATCATATTTAGTTCACAGAACAGACATTGCCCTATATGCGCTACACACACACACACACACAATCATACACACTCAATCACACACACTCATACACTCACATTCCCGAAAACTTAAATATAAATGTTGCTCTAGGTATATGACAGAACGATTTTCGCAGTAGCCCCGAGGCAACTATATCGTACGTAACAATTAGCTGGTCAATGATCAATTTCATTGTGTAGGGTACTGGTGTGGCATGGTGTATGTTACCATAGTGGGCTGCTGGCCCGGCGGCAAGGGCGCACTCGCTGTCGGGGGTGTGGCGGTGGCTTGCGTCGGCTGCCAGGCACCCGCGCTTGGTGCAGGCATCCTCATGCTGTTCATATATTGTGCCTGTTGCCCATAATATTGACCATAATATTGTGCAGGCTGCAGGAACTGTCCCTGCATCTGTGGATAGCCTTGTGGATACCAATAACCCATCTGTTGGCCATAACCGTACGCGTACTGCCCTACTCCTGCCGTCACCTGTTGTAAAAAAAAAAAAAAAAAAATTTTTCACGTCTATTTTTTTATATAACTCGGTTATTTAAAAGATGTAAAACATATATATAAATTTTAGCTAATATGGGATACAAAAGATAAATAAAGTAATTTACATAGGCCTAAGAGGGGTGCGAATGCTCTCAATATGCTTGCTAATAAATCTGAAATAAATACATATAAATGTACATGGTGTATATAATGACTGGACCATGAACGACTTGCAATCATAAGTATGTAAACAACAACCTGTTGAGCTTGATGATTGGCATTAGGACCAACGCTGTTTGGATCGCCGTTTTCCTTTCCCCAAAAGCATTTGACAATGCTACCATTGATTTCAGTATTATGCGTTGATTCAATGGCATGCGTTGCAGCTTCCTTAGTTGTAAATTTAATAAAAGCATATCCCTTGTCTTTAAACACTCTTATATCTTGGATGGTGCCGAAGGGAGAAAATGTTTTCTTTATCAACTCGTCTGTGATGCCGTTTGTGAAACCTCCGCAATATACCGTGCAATTGGTAGGACTACTTTGATTATATACCTGTTGAAAAAACAATAATTGATCTTTAGACTATCATGTAGAGTTTAGCATCAAAATTAAGATCAAACACACAAATTTAATTATCTTTTTTTCTCCTGTTTTAAACCGAATCTATGGTCTTTGAATTTATCATTAGAAGTAGCTATTTGTTCCAAGTACATGATAATTGTATAAATTCTTTTTCTTATCCACATAAAAATTATTATTAAATTAAAACACAATAGATTTTTAAATGTCTTTATGTACGTGAGCTGTTTCTAGTTCAGGATATTTCAAAGTTAAACGATCAAACTTTGTCAGTTCTTTAAATAGAAAAAAAAAAAAAAAAAAAAAAAAAAAAAAAAAGAAACTTTCGTCCCGCGATTGAAA